AATACAGTTGTCCCTTGATAATCCGACAGGTATGGGACCAAAGGTGTGTCAGATTACCAAAAGTGTCCGGATTACCGAAAATAATTACATATTTCGCATTGTTTTGCTAGCAGTAACTTACAATATTCTCTACTCCAACTGTTCGAACAGAACTGCTCACATAAAACACATGAAATGTGTGTCATCGAGTAAGAATTGGATGGGGAGATTCACATCGCAACATGCTTCTGTGCAAGCAGACATGTAACGGGGACGAGTACCTTGACAGGAGGTGCGTCGGACTACTGAGCATGTCGGATTAAAAAACGTCGGACTATAGAGGAACAACTGTATTAATAAAAACTAGTTAACCAGCCTGGATAACAATTATATTTTAAAATGTCAAAAAATTATGTTTTACATATTGTCTTACCCACTTCAATATGTAAAACATATCGAGGCAGATAAAAGAGCCTACAATAAAAGATTGACTCTTTGTAAGGCTGTTCCTGAGGTGTGGTATGGACGGATAGTGAAGATTTTGTGTTTCTTCAAATATATTTTATGTGAAATTTTAAAAATTATTGTTTTTGATTAAGGTCATTGGACAGAATAACTTATTAATATTACCTCTTCTTAACAAAACATATGTGCCTAACCTTTTTGGGATCTGTAAAACAATTTTATGCATAAATATATTTCCAGGTTCTCCAACAATGGCACCTGTATATGCTGCTGTGCTATTTTCTTTAGATTGGTAGCCATTCTTTGGGCTCTCTCTTAAGAATTAAATATTAATTATGCAGTTTACATAATTTTTAAATACATCATAGTGAATATTTAAAAATTTAATATTCATTATATATTTTTCACTTAATTTTCAGGAAAGTGGTGCAGCATACTAAGAAATTGGATTCTATCAGACCTGTTACAGTAGCATTGAGTGCAGATTTTAATTCAGATAAAATTGTAACATACATTATTAAAATATCTCAAACAAACTATACTTTACTAATCTTTTTTCCTATTATGTCAGGGTCAGTTTCTGGATGTAATTATGATAAACAGATATTATGGATGGTATAGTGATATTGGTCATACCGAAGTTATTGTCAAACAGTTACTGTATGATGTGACAAGTTTTCATAAGAAATATTTAAAACCAGTTATGATAAGTGAATATGGAGCTGATACTATTGCTGGACTCCACATTGTAAGATAAATATTAAATAATAATAATATGTACTATAAGATGTTTCCCACTATTAAATTCGTTTTCCTAATTCTAGGACCCATCATATGTTTTCACTGAAGATTATCAAGTAGAATTTATAATTCAGTATCACAAAGGATTTGATTTATTATATCAGAAAGGATTTTTTGTTGGTGAATTAATATGGAATTTTGCTGATTTCCTCACTAGTCAAAGTAAGAGTTTAAATAGTATAAATTTATAGTAGGAACTAAGTGTTTGATAAACTTTTTAAATCTGCAAGCATTAAGAAACTTTTTTTATGTCTGTCATGATCAGACAAGTCCAAGTAAGAAAGGATAGAGCCAACATATTCAGATCAAACACCCATAAAAATTTCCGAAAATTGATCCACGTTTGAGTCAAATCCTCAGTGGATTAAAGTATCAGTCTGCTATTCTGATCTTGAGTCTAGATCCTTCGGAGCAACAGGCTGATATCATAATGCTTGGCTATTTGTCCAATTCATTGAAAATATCAGCCTGTCTTTCAAAATGTATTGATAATATTGTCATTGGATACTGAAATTAATAAGAGGTTTCTACAGACCAAAAATTCTTGTAGAAACTGAATTTTTAATAGTCATTTTATATATTTTTTGGAGATTTACTCTGTAACATCAATAGAAAATTCTAACCTAATTAGGAATCATCCATAAATTACATAATGCTATTTTTACAATTTTCAACTACATTCTCCCCTGTAAAACTCTGTAATGTTATTGCACATACCTACCCCAAAATTATATACAGTAACATATAATTTTAATCAACCCCTGTTAATTGTACTAATGAATAATACACAGTGCAGTGTCGAAAGTTATAGTTGGTATGAGAGATTTCACTTGGTCAATACTAATGCGCCTATTTTAGGAGAGATATGGTGGCAAAATGGAATAGTTCTGTGATAATTGTGCTACACATGCAATTATTTATGTTGTACAAGCTTGATCAGTTATAGCAAGAACATTTGTGTAAACAAAAGTGAACCCTGTACTCTGTAACCTGGGTGATAATTTGAAAAATATGAAAGGCTGGAAGGTGATATATGGATTTAATAATCAGTCTCCCACATTATATACAATAGCAAGTTTAATAGAGTCGTGAAAAGAAGTTTTAAAGAGATAAGTTTGCTTATAGGATAATAGAGAAAAGTTTTGACATGGAGAGTCTACCCCATCTTGTCACTTTATAACCCCTAAAACAGACACAATTAGTATTGACCAAATGCAATCTCTTATCACACTGACTATCACATTGTATTAACTACATGCATAATGTACAAAGCAATGGCATAAGCAGTATAGTTCACTATGTAACACTTCAGAACCATAAATGATTCATTCTGTTTTTAAGGTTTGGCACCCTATCATTATGTAATGTTTTTGTAAACATTCTCATCCTCTTGTAATGCATCATAATGATTACCTGCATACTTACCCAGTCATATCTGCATTGCATAATTCGTAGTTTTGAAGAGCCCATTATACCAACAGATAGACTAATTTAATATTAAATTATTTAAAATTTAGATATGATATGTGAAGTAGAGTTTTAATTGTTTCTTAGCATAAATCTGAACAAAAGTTTCGATCAGTTTATGCTAAGAAATAATTAAACTTTATGAATTTTAAATAGAATATTCAATGGACCCTAAAATTAATGCTTAGGGTCACCTAATGTGTTAATTTTTGCTGATTTTGTTAATAAATTGTTAGAAAAAGAATTTATTATAAAAGTATTCTTAATTTATAAAAATATAGGTTTAACTAGAGTCCTGGGAAATAAAAAAGGAATTTTCACAAGAGAAAGACAACCCAAAGCAGCAGCGAAGGTTCTTAGATGTCGTTATCATCATCTGGCAAACAGAACAATTACAGAAGACATGTATTGTCCAGTTTATTATGCGGAGACATGTTAAACAATATGTATTGTATATACAAAATTATATATTGAAGATTTTGAATTATATCAAACAAGATATTTGTATAAAATATTAAAATCATATAATAAATTTGAAACTAGCTTTAAACACTGTTCTGCAAATAAATAAAATGGGGATAAATACTGCTAAATACTATACTTATAAACCAAAAAATTTAATGACTTAAGGGAGAAATCCCTTTTTCATGTAAAAATTTTTATTAAATGGTGATTTTACGTATCATTAGTTTTCTCATTCTTTATTCTCCATCTTTTGTTTCTTCTTCCTGGTACTTTTCTTTGTTATTTTGGACTCTTGGGGATAAAGCAAGGTAGGGAGCAAGAAAGAGAATTGATAGAATGGGAATGAATCTGTGTGGGAGAGTGTGGTGTATGTTGGAGAATGGAAGAACAAAACGAACCTGGATTAATTTTTTTTCTTTTTGAAAAGATATAAGAGATTGAGAGGAACTTGGAAGAAATCTGCATATTTATCTTAGAGGATACTTGAGGAAATTCACTTTTATCACTAAATAAAGTGACCTTTAGACTTTATCAGTCAGGATAGAATATTCTGAATTTGTCTTTGAAAAATTTTCCCAGACATGCAGACATTAATATAACACCAACAAAAGATTTGGCGAGTTTTTTTTTATAGTTTCTGGCTCATTAATTGTTTTCTAATTTTCCTCATTTCTATCTTTCCCTTTTTCACATTTAAAAAAGATCACATAATGAAGCAACTAGGCAGCAATTTTTCTAATAAACCCCTCTTAAAAATACATTATTATGAAAACAAAAACATCCAAAGCTGCAAAGTTTGTAAATTGTAAAGATGCAACAGTATAAGATTTCATTAGGTGATATTCACAAAACTTGCCTCACTTTATTAATTTTCTCATCAGGTTTGAGACTGCCTTAAATCTTATTTTATATGTTTTTTAGGCTACATTTGTGGTAGAGTGCCACCTTAAGAGCTCGGCCATCCTTATAAATTGTATTTTTACAACCTTGACTGTTAACATGAGCATCCACAGAAAATTTTACATGGAGTGCAAAGCTTGGAGACAAATAATTACATCAATACATTTTTTATTTAATCTTTTGGGGAGATTTTATCATAGTAGATTATTGAATACAGTACTGCTTTAATTAAAAAAAAAAACACAGATAAAGCAGGGTGTAAGGTTACATATCTCAATCAATTTTATGATTATAATTTGTGGAAACTTTTGCTGGATCCCAGAGAGAGGCAAGTGCCCCATTTGTCCTCCTGTGCAGCCATCCCCAACTGTTAACTCTAATATAAATTTACACAGATAATACCTTTGCACCTTTGTACCATTATATTTGTAAATATGTTATAGTTACCTTTGACCTTTTAGATATTTATTAGGTTCAATTTCGTAATAACTATCCAAAAATTCCACTACAATTAAATATCACATTAGTGGAAGATTCTTTTGCTTTGTGCAAAACAAATTTTGTAGATGATTACGAAAGCAATCGAGTAGGTTCTACATGAACGAAACAATGGGAAATGACACACTTCCACACGAACTATTCAGGAGAAACTGAAAATACAAAATCAAACAAGAATTCTTCATAATAATAGCAAAGGGCTTTTTGATTCTGGTAAGATTAATTTGCATACGATTTCTATTCTTTTTTTAGGTAAGCAAGTTCATCGAGTTAACAATTTAATTTAAAAATGAGACCGCAATTGTATCGTGTTTCCCCCCAAAACATCCCTTTGGGAAGTTGCAATGCATCGTATTTTGCTATTCAAAGTTCAGCCTGCGGTATAATCGGCTACATTTGCAATAAAGTTGCTTATCTTTCCTGTATATTCCATCTATACTCATACATAGTGTCAGATTTAAGTGTAATCTAGCCATAGCTTAAAGCCACTGTTCAAGCGGCCTACGTAAATTCGAGTCTAGAATATTTAAATTTGTTTGGAATGCTTTGCATTCTGGAATGCCACAAACTGTTAATCCAGTTGCATCTTATACTTGAAATGCTAGTTTTATTATTGTACACAATGGCATTTATAGAAATTTTAACGCTTTCTTCACATATTTTAGCGTAAGTTATTTTTATTCTTAACTTTTTGTATTGTGAAAATCTAAAACACCACCTTTATATGGAAGATTTTTCGGCACATTTATCTTAAATTTGCGTAATGTTGCACGAAGATTACTATGTATGCAACAATTTTAAATACGTAATTTTTTCTAGACGTGGTAACTCTATAATTATCAATAGTTAGAATCATATAAGAATACTATAGAAGCTGTATGACACCTTCAGATCTAGGATCCTAGAGAGGATGTTTCAAAATTCCTATTACAAACTTATTTATAGGGCAGATTCCTTAAGAAAAACTAAGATTAAATGTCTAAAACTCCTTAAGTTCAGTGACACCATTTCCGGAATTTGATGCATCCGAAAAAATTTAAATATGAGTATTGTATATTTCTTCTATCTCAATCTTTTTATTTTCATTAAAATAAATACTTTTTTAAGTGAATACAGTACATTTTTACGCGGTACAATTTCAATACAAACCAGGAGCGAGTGTACGTACCAGAACATGCTTCTGAGATAAAATGGCTGAGTTCAGCAGGCTCAACAGTTGTAACTGTGCAAAAGTGATTCAATCGGTAGCTACTACGTAACAATGAGGATCTGCTGAACGTTGGAACAGGAAGTAGCCATCATTGACCAATTACAGCTATAGTAATGTAGCGTAAATCGAATACTCTACTAAATGTGACGTCAAAACACCAGAAAAAATGCATAAATGGATCAGGATGCAAACGCTTGAGAAGTATTACGCAGTTTTATAAAGAAAAAATACAGTACTTACTTCCCCCTTTACGAATCTTTCGATTTAAATAAAAATAAATACATTAATCTGTACAAAAACTCTGAAGTGACGTCACTGAACTTTCAACGTCTATAACCCCTTAATTAAAGGCTTTATTCGAAAAATTTACTGAACATTTATTTTAGTTTTTCGTAAATAAACTGTCCTACAAAGGATCCAGCAAGATTCTTCTTTTATAGACCCCACTTGAGGCCCCAAAAGCATCTGCCATAATGTACTCTCCTTTTTATTTTTTTCGCCCTGTGGGTACTATAGAGGGCCTTCATGCCCATCGTTTCCAGTCTCACAACTGGAAACGGACCGTTGCAAAGTATTAATTTCATTGTAATTCTTGTATATTAAAATGAACCCGTTGTTTTGATCAAAAATTCTTTCAATGATGATTTTATTAATATACTAGGGTTTCAAAACGTAAGATGCCCTCCCTACCTTCAGTAATAATCATAATTTTAGATGCATAAACTCTGGCATCTCTCTAAGATATTCTTCATTATAAAATCTATCAAATAACCCATAACATCACCATTAAGATTAGAGGTAGTTTTGCTAAGAGATTGGCAAATTTTAATGGCGCCTGAGGTTAAATTTGATAACAATCATGACAAGGGGTAATGTCGAAACACAAACTGAATATACAGTAATTGTTAGCACAGTGACGTGACGTAAAAACAATCCTTAGATATAAATGCATGTAAATAAATCATGATGATATATTATTGCAATTGTTAAATATGCTTAAAAAGTAGATTAAAATCATGTTCTTTCACAATTCTAGCCTTGAAAATCATATAAAATCTACAATTAATCGCACTAATTGTTATAGAGAAGATGCCTGACAACCAATAAGTCAACGTGCTATATGAACTTTGGACCCCCGGTTTAGTGACAATGAATACGGAAACCTCGTGTTGTAAATATTTAGAGCATTAGTAATGAATACCAGATGAACAAATTTTTAGTTATAAATTAAATATTTTGATAGTTACAAGAGTTATCTACAGTAAAATACAACGTGACAGATTTAATCCTTGTTAACTGATAGTTTTAATTGTTATATAAAAATTAGTCGTTAGCTTTGGGTTTTATGCTTAATCATGATGATCATAGTGGATAAAGGACGTGCATGGATTATAGCATTTTCGTCGTTCTGGACCATGTTAACTGTACTTGGAATACACAGAAGTTCAGGAGTACTGTTTACATCTATGATGAATGATTATAATGTATCCAGAGAATCGGCAGCTTGGCCATTTTATTTACGAAAAACTGTGGGATTTTTATCAGGTATATTATTAAATATTTGCTACAGTAAAATTAAGCAAAAGTGAATTACTCGAATGTTGTAAAATTACTTTTCTTCCAGCGAATCTAGTGGGATTTATAAATGGATACTTTTCAATGAAGTGCCAAATGTTTGTGGGATTATTGTTGAGCGCTGTAGCTATGTTTGCTCTATATTTTGTTGATGATATTTTATCTATAACGTTAATATTCGGCATTTTGTATGGTGAGTACAGTTATTTCTTACTTTTATCTACGATTTATTCATTAATTAACTACAATATGCTTATTTCAGGTGTGGGTTCTGGTATAGTAATGATGTGCAATTTGATCTCTATCAATAAATTCTTCTCTAAATACCGTACTGTCGCACAGGGTATTAGTTTAGCTGGAAATTCAACAGGAGCATTCATTTTACCGCCTTTAATCGAATATTTTATTGATAATTATGGATTACGTGGCACGTATCTTATGCTGACAGGTGTTGTGTTACAGGGTTTCATAGTGGTAATGATGTATGAAGATTCACCATATCAAAAGCCAGAGAACTTAACTGAGTTAAGTATATCAGAATCTATAGAAAGAAATTTAAAAGAACGTCCTTCAAGCAACGAATCAGATACAAAGATATCAAAGCAATTAAGAAAAACCTGTTTGTATATATTCAAATGCCCAATGTTTCATGTGATATGGATAACGTATACAACGTTTGATTTTGTTTTTCAGACATTCCTAACCGTTATAATAGATCATGGTGCAGATTGTGGAATCAATGAACACAAAGCTGTGTATTTTCTGTCTGCTTTATCCGTTGTGGAATTAATTGGTAGACTAGGAGGAGGATGGATTGTGGACTTTCAACTAATCAAACGCAAAAATATAATTAGAATATCGTTTATGTTATATGCAATGATATATATATCATTGCCCTTCCTGCATACTTATGTGATAATGATAGTTTTAACAGCACTGATTGGTCTCATTGGCAGTTCTGTTACCATTAATGGTTCTGCCTTATTTGCTGACTATGTAGGATTAGAAAATCTTCCTATGGCTTTAGGTTTCTCTGCCAGTTTGACTGGTTTAATTGGTTTAATCACTCCAAGGATAATAGGTGAGTACAAATTTGATGTTTACTCATATGGTAATAAATTTGATAATATAATAGTCTCTTAACTATTTAACTGTTCTCTATTTCCTTCACTTGAATATTTACACATACAATAAACTTTATTTTCAAATCTATCTTTATAAAAAAATCATTTAGTAAAATTTCCCATACCAACATTCCCAGCAGTGGTGAGAAGATAAAATCATTGAATGCCGGTAATTGATTACTAGTTTGTCTTCCAATGGATTGGCCATGTTGAGTTTTTAAGGTTTCCTTCATATCTAAAAAGGGGTTTTTCCAAATTTTTTGTCTGATTTGAGAGGGTACAAGGCACCAGATTCTACCAGTTTCGGTTTTACTCAATATAGGCTAAGTGACCTGACCTTCAGCTCAGATTTAAATCCAAGCCCCTCACAGCCAACTTTGCATTGTTACAAGTTTTGTTTGCATGATTTGAGCTCTGCAATGACTTAAAATTGATGGGGGATTACAGATATGTTTGTATAATGTTTATGTCTCATCTCAGTAGTAATAAGACAATAATGGCAAAATATCAGGATATTTATAGTCATAATCCAGATAATCCATGGCCAGCTATTCTGATTTTGAGCCTTTACTCCTAATTGTTTAAAGATGCAGTCTGACTAACTAACAGATGGACCTAACTAACTAACATTCATTTATTAAATTTATTATTACTAAAACACTTTAAAATGTACAAATGTTAAAAAATGAGATAAAATACTCAATTGATCAAATTATAATTTATTTTTAGGGCATATCCGAGACACAACGGGAAGCTACAATTTATTATTCTTTATATTTGGAGCGGCATCCTTGTTTGTGACCTTAATGTGGATGGCAGAACCACTGTTCGTGATGCTACAATTAAAAATACATCGCAAACCTTATACTATAAATTGTGCATAATGTTATTTAATTTTATATAAGTTTATTATATTTTAAAAATTTGTTTATAATTAAAAAAAAAAAAAGGTGTTGAAAGTAGTCTTTGAATTGTTTCACTCGGGGCTACAGAGTTGGTAAAAAAGACACTAGATTCTGATTCACTACTCAGGCAAAATTAAATACCAAGTCATTTTATGGAAGCAGAGGCACTCATAGGGGAATACTCTATTCTCAACTCTAAAAGGAGCCTGGGGCATTTACCCAAATACTTTCATAGCTAGTATTTTTAATATTTAACTTACATTAATATATATCTGTATATAAAAAATTAATTTTTAACAAATACTTAATAAGAAGAGATAGGGGGCAATAGAATTCTACATCTACATATATTCGACTGAATTTGCACTTCAATTTCACCCTTCCAGAAGAGTTAGTCAAACTAAAAAGTGTGCGATCTAGCTAGCTACTTCAGCCCCTTGTTCAGAAAAGAAAAATATGTACTCTGATCAATTAATCTGGCTCATTCAGAAAAATAGAGCACTTATTTAGAGTGGGGATAATAAAGGAATGATTCAAAAATATTCAAATCCAATTGGGTCAAAATAATTTAACTACTAAACACAAATACTACAAAGAATACTACATATTTAATAAATTAAATTGATGCATTTAGTAAAATAAATGAATTATAACAAAAGACAAAAAGATTTTAAAAAATTAATAAATATATAATAAATTTTCTTTCATTTAAATAAAGAAAATAAAGTAAATTTAAAATGCGGGAGTTGGAGTTGACACATTTTTTCTGACTCAACTCGGACTCGGACTCCTCCCGACTCCGACTCCACAGCCCTGGTTTCACTTAACAATTTAGTTTTATGGTCATTCAGTATCTTATGTGTATGCAATTTTAATTGGATTGATGCAGATGTTTCTGCTGCATCATGTTCCTGTTAATCTATAGTTGATGGAAGCATGGGTGCTACACAATCTCACTGGTGCAAACTAAAATTAACGTGTTCCCATGTGTTTCTTTGCTTTGCCAGTATTGCCTTGCTGGTGATCAACAGCAATCTTGCTTGTCCTGCAATACTTATCATCATCATCACGATGAGAGGTGGTGTTTATCATGGGATGCTGATACGGAAAGAACTTGACCCCCCAGTCAAGGTGAACGAATGGTGTGGGATAGTACAAAGGGTCTCCTTAGAAAATTTAACCCATATATTATAAACATTCAAAACCAAGCTTAAATAATAACAATCCACGAAAACATTTTTTTACGAAACCCTTTTTTACGAAACCCTTTTTTACGAAAACCTTTTTTACGAGTGTTATGGAAGTCGTTTATCTTACCAAGCTTAAAACAATTTCTCAAATATCACACTGTTTTTAGGTCCATTATCGAAGATGAAAAGTTTGAACATATATGAGATTTCCCTCCAAGTCTTTCAGCAATAGAGATGCCCTGGAGCAGCTTGTCTATGGGTGCTGAGTTGAGACTAGAGTTAATGTGGTGAAGTTAAGAAAGTCTTTTGTAGACTAGGTTATCTTCCAACCTATTTTCCTCAATTTTTCTGTATTTTTGATTATCACATTATAATATTTTAATAATTTCAACAAATATAGTGTCTGTTAAAATGAATGCTACCATTTTAAATTATTGTAATTATGTTAAGTACAGTGGTACCTCAGGTTACGAACGCCCCAGCATACAAAATTTTCAGGATACGACATGAAATTCGAACATATTTTTGCTCCACGATACGAACAAAAACTCACCGTACGACGTTACATTAGTTCGCATTTTTCATTTCTTTCTCTTACTACAGTTATTTTTTTTTTAATGTATTACTTGGCTTTAATTTGAGTATGTTTTTCGTGTTGGAACGAATTATTTGGTTTTACATGTAATCGTATGGGAAAAGATGATCCACCTTACGACATTTTCAGGATACGATCTCAGTTTCGGAATGGATTAATTTCGTATCCTGAGGTACCACTGTATTATCTGCAACATTGTAGTATACAGGTACAGTACTAGATTAATGCACAGGAAAATTATCCAACTTCCCCATTTGCTTATTACAATTTTTTGATTCATGCGGCTGTCACACGGCACACATCCAACTGATTACTCAAATTCTTCCTAAGCTCATTACAGCATATCTGTTGTCACTAGTCCAATTCTGCAGCTCTTTCAAATTACTCAGATTGCACAATAAAGAGTGATTCTGACTTTGCAAACTGCAGAATATAAAATACCTTCTGTTACAGAGTTGCCTTTTTGTTTACAGTTCTTTCTAGATGCAGTAGACATGTTTGAAGATGGGAGATGAAACTCTGACAGTTACTCAATCAACTACTCACTTACTTCTCAAATAATAAGTAACATAATTACAGTTATTTAACATGGTAAAATTCATTATGGAAGACCTTGTATTTAAGTATAATATAATTTGAACTGTAACTATTAATGCAGTCTTCAGTTATTAATGATTATTATTAACAACCATTGATAAGAAATCTGTATTAATAATCCAAATAATAGTAATTCACTCTAAAGTGTAATATTTTTGAAGCTTATCCAGAATTTTTTGACGACAATTATTTAGCCTATTGATAATCCATCTATTGTTTATTTATCCAATTATTAATTCAAAAACACAAACTCAGTAAGATTTGATTCATGATATAAAATACAACAATTGCTTCTTTATAACTAAATGAAATACCGAATATATACAAATTTCTACAAGACAAAGATGTTCCATTATAGAACGAGTAGTTTTAAATTTGTTTGTCAGCCATATTTCCAGTTTGTATTTCATTGGTTTGGAAAGGAGATGAGGTATATATTTCCTGCTCTTTCATTGCTTTTTTGTTAAAGTGACAACATAATCTTTGATATATCCAGGAGAAAAAGTGAGAGCTTCAATGGCATCCATCTTTGTTATATTTTTACAACATAATGGGCTTGAATGAGCAAATGCCATCTAACATTGTGTTTATAATTATAACTTCCAGTAAATGTAACATAAAATATATCGTGAACAAACTCTATATTATTTAATATTTTGTTATGTAAGAAAGATTGTAATAATTATAGTTGATTTATCTATTACTGAAAACATATTAACATCTACATTCTTGATACAAAGAAATGGGAAAGACCCCTCAAATCACCAGAAACTCCCAAGCGTGTACCGTATAAGGCTCTATTAAGAGACAAGAGGTTCGGGAGGAATCTAATCTACTTTGGTGCCACTAAAAACTCATTAGAACAAAGGATACAGGAACACAAATATGATATAAAGCATTCAAAAATCACCACCACCCTATCTACGTTTGCCTCAGAAGACAATATAGAGGCAAAATTAAATCAGACTTAGCTCATCAGATCCTCTACAAACTGGAACCACATCAGGCTTTTCGAGTTAAATAAAATATTTAAAGCCAGCCTTGGATCCAATTGCATAAACTCTAAAGCTGAGATACAACTATCTAAAGCATGGAATGATTTATCCAAGTTATAATGATGTTATGTACTATGCAGGTATGTAACATTGTTATAACCTGGACAAATCAGATCATGTCTCAAACTGGTCTTTTCAAATTCGAATGCTACATGACTATTCTATTTGATGCATTCCAATTAGAAACAAACTATTTCAACCTGAAGCTGGAATCAGGTGGATTCTGAAAATGTTTATGATTGTTCCATCTTCCACATTTTACCACATGTTGAAGAGGTTCTGTGATTAGATATATTATTATAGTTTACACATATTATATATTAAAATATATCAATTCATTTTTAAAAAATAATACAGTAGTACCTCATACTTCAAAAGGCATCTGGAATAAATTAAAAGTAGAAGACACCACAGTGTTTAATTAGTTCAGTAAAACACAACTGTTTTATTTGTAATTAAATTTACAAAGTGTTTTCAAACACATAATTAAAGTTTATTAGAAAAAGGTTAGACAAATCTGGATATTATTATAACACATTAAACTGTTTGAATACATTTGTTAGAAAATGTGTGCATATCTGGTTGATATTACTGTTGCTATTCATCTCTACATCTGGTTAATGTAGAGATGAATAGATCAGACTTTTAATGAAAATTATATGAATATTTTCAACTTTTTTACACATAATAATAAGCATAAACAAAATTAGACATCTTAACAGTTAATTATATTTTATACAAGCATTTTTAACCCATTTCACAAGTTATTTTTTAGGTTAAAGGAATTCCAAAATTAAATAATTTTTTTTGAAATTGTGGCCCAATAAGATCAAAAATTAAACACATCATAAAAATGTGAAAAGAAAATTTGAATCAAACGTTATATCAAAATGACTCATTAAATAGGTCAAAAATACTGTATTTTACGGTATATAAGATACATAAGAATATTTAGTGTATTTAACTGTAGGATATGAAGTCCATGTATGGAATTCATTAGCTTACAGAAAATTGCAACTTTACACTCTTTTTTTCAGCCTTTTTAGGACAAAGTTGTATCTTATACAATGTAAAATATTATATTTATTTAACAGTGATTGATTAAATTTTAAAGTGTCTAGTTTTGTTCACACAAGTAGTTTTACTATATTGTTTCTGGAGTGTTTCAAGTTCATTTCATTAAAGTTTTAAATGTAATAATAGAAGTAAATTCTGTATTTAAAAAAACCTTCTATAATATTTATTTAATCACAAACAGTGAATATCATCTAATTTTTAATATTTCTCATAAAAAAAAAAATTACAGTTGTTCTTCTGAAATTTTCAATAACTTTATTTTATTTGTAACAAAAAATTTTTTCATTGATTAATAATCTTCGAATAATTTCTTAATATTCAAAAGAATAAGTTTCGATATTCCCTTTAATAATGAAATATATAAATACCTATACTTTTCACAGTAATTAAATAAGGCTTTCTAATAAGTAATCGACAGCTGTGGAAAAACTATCAAACACATGATTTGGAGGTGGAGATATTGTTTCTTCATCTCCTGGTCTATATTTTCCTGAAAATTAAAATCCTATTAATTGGATAATTTATTAAAGTAATATCTCATAATACTTTAAATTTAAAAATTATAAAAACAATTAGAGAAAACTATTTATCTAATATAGAAAAAATATACATTTGCATCAACATTAAACATGATGATGATGTATTTTTTCATAACTCTTTCTTAATTTATAGTGTCTTCCAAAAAGAATTCTACTATTTTAAACATTGTAATTATATTAATCATTATCTAAGAATGGAAAACTATCCAAGTTTCACATTTTCCCATTACAGTTTATCAATGTGTACACCTTATGTTGCATGGCACACACCAAATCAATACAAGTCAACCCCCCTATAACACTGTTGATTTTTCCATTTTATACGAATTCCATGTTCTACGAGTCACTTAGATTTTACAAATACGTGTGCCGGTCTGTGAACGGCTCAAGTATTTGTAAAATCTAAATGACTCGTACAACATGGAATTCATATAAAACGGAATAATCAACAGTGTTATGGGGGGTTGACTGTACTCATATTGCACAAAGATAAGTGATGTAGACTTCGCAAACTGCAAAACACCTTCTCTGTTGTAGAGTTGTCATTTTATTACAGAACTTTCTAGAGGCAGACGACGATGAGACATTTGAATGTTGATGGGAAATAAAATTCTGATTGTTACTTTATTAATTGGTGCATGTCACATAATTAACATAATTGTTACCATTTTAAATTACTATATTCTTTTGAAAGATTCTGTAATATAATTTACAACAGTAATAGTGTCAATAGCAGCAACAATAAAGAATTTTATGAAAACAAAATCTATTTATGCTTTTAATCATTAATGATTTGATTTTGAGATGGTTTTAGATAGTAAATGATACATCTAATAAGCAGGAAAGCATTGATTTGGTTTGTACTGTACCTTGATAAATACCATATTTTTCTATAATGTCAGCTATCACCTAATTTAGAATTTGCTTAACCTGCTTTTGTAAATGGACAGATGGCTGAGCAGTTAAGGCATCAGCTTATAACTCTGGAGGACTCTGAAATGATTCTGGACAAGTCTACAAACCCTAGAAATTTTTCAAGAGGTGGTTCATTCCAGATATGTTGAGCCTCATCTCTTAACCGATCATCTGCCCCATTGACCGAATCCATAATGGGTTTGATGAAGAGGACCTTGGTGAGTACAGGGCAGAAAGAGTCAAAAATGAAAAATTAAAATAAACCTGCTTTTGAACAAGTATTTGAAATAATCCTAGAAAAGTTAAAAGACATGAATGTAATGATTCTTCTAATATCAATGCCAGAATTATTATTCATTATTTACTATCAAGAGTATATTCACATGACTACAACAAATCACAGAGCTTGTTCACAGAGGATTTAAAAACATGCTCATTGACAAAAAAGTTACATAACCAGATAATTTTATCTAATTATTGAAAAACTTGGCATACAGCTATATCTTGGACATATATGTAAATGATTAGAGAATAATTTCTCATCACAGAATTACTCATTTCTATCTGTTCTGTTTGCTTTCAAAGTAGATAATAACCATAGTTCCTTGAAATTGCTACTTAATTATTCTATGGAAAGGTTCACTGAGGTTCATTGTGTTCAGAATTTTCAGTGTATGTTGTTAGGAGGCCTGTATGATGGAGTTAGAAACATTACATGTGGCTGATAAAGTTTGAGAAAGGTCATATCATAGGTCTGAAAAAAGCAGGATGACCATTTTGTCAAATTGCATGCAATCTGAACCACTCTGATTTGACTAAACAGATATTGAGGCAGGGGATATATGGCCATTATACTCTGGGCATATCAGACAGATCACCAGGAAAATTTTCTGATAATGAGACAAGCACAAACAGCTGCAACAACATCTTTGTCCACCATCCATAGACAGGTGGAAGTCTTGCCAGAGAACCTTATCTCATCTCTTCCTGTACTATTGAAAGGTAACTAGTAGAAATGAATTTATCTGATATGTAGTGGTGTTAATGGCAACAACTACACATCCTGCCATTAGGACCCAAATGTCATCACTTCATTTGACAGAAAACATATGGACTGCTATGGAGTGGAAGCATATTATCTTTAGCAACAAATCCCAGTTCTGTTTGGGAATGAACAATCATCATATTAGAGTATGGAAGAACACTGGTATGTTTTTCAATCCTGTCTGTTTAATAGTCCCCACTGCAGGCATACTTTAGTCACCACTAGTAACAATGTAAGGGGTATTGAAGACACATTGCTATGATCCCATAATGGAAGGACTGCAAATAGCCATTTTTCCAACAAAATATCAATAATAATCAGCCATACATAGTTAGGATTTCTCAGGAATATCTGTCACATTACCAAACTTCCTTGGCTTGTCTATTTATAACTCATAGAGCATTTGTGGAAAATTTGTGGAGATTTTCATATTTCTCACCACTCCACTAACACAGAAAATACATAAATCTGCCACCAGTCCTCTCTTCCACTATCAATGCTATTAAAAAGTACATATGATCTATTTTGTATTTACACTAATCTCTCCAATAATAATTCAAATAAATAGTTTTCATTTTCAGGAGAAAACATCTTTCAAAAAAGTATAACGTTTATTTTTATTGAAATATCAAATTCAGAAATTGAAATCTGACAGCAGGCATATATTGATCAGGAGGAAGGTTAGAACTCATTACAAATCACAGAACATAATGGAAAGACATGCTTTTAGCAATGGAAGAAAGACTGGGATGGATTTTCATTAGGTGGATGCACCAACCTCCATGTGTTTGATGGAATTCATTACTTCTCACAGGTATTGGGATGAGATACTGGATCATTATTTCAAACTTTATGCCGTTGCAATCAGAGATGATTTCATTTTAACGGACAATAATGATAGTCCACATCAAGCAAAACTGGTTGACCAATACCTTTATGAACAAAGAATAGTGCAAATGAATTGGCCTGCATATTCTCCAGATCTCAATCCCATAGAATATTTATGGGAATCTCTAGGAAGATGTGTTAACTGTCATATCCTCTCTACAAACCCCTAGTGATAACCTGACCTCCAAATGACTCTTTTGCATGAATGACAATTGCTGCCTTCTCAGACTTTGCAATTTCTTATTGAAAGGTATGAATTGATGCTGTCAAGCTTGAATTAGTGCATTAAATATTGTCTTCAACATTTGTATTCAAACCTCTTATTTTATATTCACATTTATTGTTACCTGCATTCATCTTTTATTTTTTCTGTTAACATTTATTCATTTTTTTTTCCCAACTGTATATAGTGTATACCTAGTTGTGTATAACCCTATGAAAGTTTTGTAAATTTGTTTAACTGGTTTTAAAAATATTGTTTTTGTGATCTGTGCATAACTATTGATGGCCAGTGTTTTATATTCAATATAACATAGTAAATAAAAAAGTCACTGTTGACAACGTAGGAATATCTGATTTTAAACATTTAAACAGTTCTTCAAAAGATGAACAAACCTTAAGGCTGTAACATACATTTGGTAATCACTAAATGCTGAAGAAACATTTGACCAATACCAAGTGTGAAGATGATTTACTCATGACTAATATTCAATATTTGCCAATTCTTACTTCTTGTTGACATATTGTGGTGAATCAAAGGGAATGAATAGGCAATTATTCAACAATCTATGAATACTGAATGTGTGGAGTCATCTCCAATAATCAGATATTTGAAAATATTTGCAAAAAATTGTTCACATTGTTCAAGTTTATTTATTTTGATATATAAGTTTTTCATATTTCGGAGAACTAATCCTATTTCTAACAATTGAAGACACTAGTAGATAAAAGTGTTAAGTTACAATTATTCAATATTTAATTGTCCTGCATAGATGAACATGTAATGTAACAGTAAAAATGATAAATGAGTCTTTATTGACAAACTGTATGACTTATAGTACTACTGTAACACACTGTTTCATAAATATATTTACACTAAAAACTTACATAATAAAAACTTCAATTTTGTAACCAAAACCTTCATCCACTTGTGTCTTCAATTATCCCGTAACATTTAAAATGAGAATATCTCAGAATGATTATTATATATGGTTCCTAGCCTAAAGAAACGATATGGCATCTACATCATCTCTGCAAATTCATACCTGTTTTTACAAGCATACCCGTTATTCCAGCACGCTGTGCTCCTTCCACGTCATCTCTAACATCCTATAAATAATTTCATTTGCATGGGTTAAAAGTAAAATTTTACATACTTTTCCTTAATATCATAACTACATCAAATTAAATATAGATTCGTACATCACCAATCATTACAGCTTCCTCTGGCTTACAGTTAATAGACGACAGAGCCTGGTGAAAAAATAAAGTTTCTGGTTTTCCAACTATTTCTGCAGTCTTACCAGTAGCATATTCTAAACCTGATATAAATGGCCCTGGACCAAGCGCTAAGCCATCTTTTAGTTTATAATATCTTCCTTTATGGATTCCAATAAAATGTGCACCATTCAACAGTAACCTAAAAATATTGCAATAAAGTATATATGAATCCATGATCATAAACTTTTTCAACTGAATCTAAAGCATAATTCTCTTAGGAGGGTTAAATATATCAATTAAATTATTAAAATTAGCTTGGATCAATTAGTTTAAAATAATAAAATATATAACTTTTAAGATTTTTATTTACCTGNACAGGGTGACCAAAAAGTTAGTGTGATATGAGAAATTTGTAATGATATTAAAGTTATACTACAGTATTGTTTAAAAATACTATACTTGTCCTGCATTTCCATTTTCTCTGTAGTGCACTGAAGGGATTGATATATAAGAACAATCTGCACACTCTGGAGGAGCTGAAGAATGCAATTACTGAACATATTGAAAAGATCACTCCTGCCACCCTTCACATTACGTTTCAACAATATACAGCATTATGTGCAAGACAATGTCTTGCACATAATGCTGAAGGAGAAACTGCAACATAAGATGTTACCTTTATTAAAACTATTTAACCTTTCTACTGCACAGTAACTTTTTGGACACCTTGGGCTGCATACTTTAACATATGTTTGTCATTAATATTAAGCAATATAAAATTATTACCACTGAATAATTTGTTTAATTATAAATAAAATATTTTTTTACAGATATCCTCCAGGTTACCATGTTCAGAATGTTAATTTTGACTTTTTTAATTATGCTGGTATTCACCGAAGTGTAGTTCTGTACAGCACCCCTATTTACTACATTGACGACGTAACAGTTTCTACAGATTTCCAAAATTCTACTGGTATTAATTCATACTTTGTTATCGGCTAGATATAATTTTTATAAAAAACAAACTTCAAATATTATAGTATTAGACATTTACTTTTATATATATGAAATAATTACAGGTCTTGTCGATTATGTGATATATTCAAATAAGAATATTAACCAAGCCGCATGTAAAATTGATGTTTTTGATAAACATTCTCGACCAGTTGCATCTTCTAAAGGTTGTAAAGGAACAGTAATGATTAAATCTGTAAATCTGTGGTGGCCACAAACAATGAGTTCTCAACCTGGATATCTGTACACTATGATGGTAAGTCGAAACTTTTTCAGTGCTTATATTGAAAATATAAAACTATAATCAATATTTAGGTTTGTTAAAATATTAAAGAATGAAATTCATGATAAATTAGCCACAGAACTTTTCATTAAATTAAATTTCAGACTGAAAATATTTTAGTTCAATGAATATCATTGTCAACTACAAAGCAAATTTTATATGAGACAACCTCTACTATAATAAACATGAGAGAAACAAACTCTTCCAAGTAGTATGAACAATAGCTTCTAACATACTGCACAATATTTATTTTTCTGCTCATAGGCATCTAAATAAAAACATATACGTATATTTATCTATTTGATTATGTGCTTTTGGACTCATTCATCTACCTTCAAAATCCATGAAAAACATTACAATCGACCCCCTATAACACTGTTGATAATTCCGTTTTATATGAATTCCATGTTGTACGAGTCACTTAGATTTTACAAATACGTGAGCCGTTCACAGCCTACTACAAACAGGCAACCAAGTCATGACAGCCAGTGAGAATCCAATAATTTTTTTTATTTTTCCTTATATTTGTTGTTATGTTGTGATAAAANAACAAATGCAGCAACATGCAAACACTTTAATATTAAAAATAAATGTAAAGCAAAGCATTTTTATAAAAATTGATGAATAAAGCGTTTTAGCACCCATAGGGAATGAATCACTTTATGAATTTCATAAAAATTCATAAAGCATCTATGGTCATATCCAAAATATTATTAAATATTTATAACATAAAAAATATCTTACCATTAAAATCTTCCATTGCAATTTTCTCGAGAAACAGCATTGGTCTTAATTGGCGAGAAACAATTAATTCTTTAGCAGCAATTAAAGACGAAAACATTTCTTCAGGTTTTAGACTAAAGCCGAGTCCAACCAGCCTCTCCCATAGTAATCGTTTGGATTCTTTCGTAGTATTCGTTACAAAACGGATTTTTACATTACTTTCTCTCAACCTGTAAAACATTAAACATCTCATAAAAATTAATGAAAGGAAACTGGTTAATAGTAAGACAAATGTTTTGGGCACATTCACATCTTCCGATCCATATATGTAATTAGTAAAACAAAAATATATAACGAAATTGTACGTAATGTGACAAAGTTTAAAATTTTAAGATACTACGCAATTATTTTGTGAATATTTTATCTTGCATACAGATAACACTTGGGTTTAAAAGAAGACTCTATGAACATGTAAAAACTATAAAGTTAAAAGAAACAGAAAAAATTAATAATAATAATGGTTTACAATTACGCAGTTCTTGGTACCCTATTTTAAACACTAGAGGGGGGGACACAATTCAGTGAATGTAAAAACAAGGATGATAGGAAGTGTGGCTGTAAAATGTACTGTACTTTGGTGATTGAAAGCAGAAAATGTAGTTTTAGTGGTGTTAACATATGTAATTGTATGGTTAAAAAGTTAATAGTTACTTTTCAAAAATGGATTAGGTGGTCATCATCATAATGTGTGAGTGAAACTCTTATCCATGTACGTATTTTCATGTGTAAACAGATGCAGTTATTTACAATGTGTAGCTTGTAGCTGATAAGGGACAAGGTCTGAAATGCATTCCCCAGTTAATATAAACCAATAAATGTTGATGATTTCCTAATTGGGCTACATTTCCTATTTTGTGTATAATAAGTCTGGTATTACAATAGATGCTGATGGTCTTGTCATGTTTGTTTTTATACTGTTTCACTGAACATATTTTGTCTTGTCACTGTATTTTTACGTGTTCAACAATTATGATGCAGACGCTCAATGATCCGACACTTCCCTTCAATCTTTCCCTATTTTCTATCCCTCCCTACTTACTATCACTTCCTCTTCTAATTTCAATTTCATCACTTCTAATTTCTTAGAGGTAAAGTCTGTGCACATACAGACAACCTCTCTACTCTTTTAATGTAATGTAATGCTGATGGTCATTAATAAAACTAACAGACAACAACTAGACATGAAGCAAATTCAAAAAACACTTGAAAAATTTGAAAATATTATAACAGGTTTCAACACTAGCAAAACTTTTTTCTTATGAAGTATTAATCCTTCTAGCTATAATTTATTTCTGTAACAGAGCTTGATGATGTGACTTAGATAGGAGTCGAGTCAGAAAAGTAAGAAAGAAGTGAGATCGGGAAAACATTTTTAGTTTTTTGCAATTATATAGAATAACAATTGCTTGAGTCTTAGTATTTTAACAGAAAAATATGAAGGTATAAATTTACACTTATTGTAAAAATTAGGATTAATTTATTTTATATAATTTTCCAATAATTCTGTATTTTAAATTTATTTTAATGGTTGAGAGACATCATCTTTAATTCCTTTGTCGATTGTATCAACAGACAAAAAATTCAATCTGACAAATATCTTTTGCATTATGCAAAGCCTACTAAAGTATACCATAAAGTTTATAATGTATGGTGTAGTATGCTTGCCATCCATGATTTATATAGGGCCATTCATTATTTGTGCATAATTTTTTAGCCATTTTTAACTTCCTCCCTCCCTCTTTTGTACAATGATGTACTTCTAGCAAATCCCCTTTCCTTTAATAACATATACAGTACAATAGTTACTGACATCGAAGAAATGACTAAAATGTTGTGCAAACCTTTTCTAGCAAATAGTTTATTCACATGGTTAGTAAATAGGCTTGTAAGTCATAGGCCTATGCCTCTAATACTACTAAAAAAGTCCATATAGATCCATATAGATAATACTTTGACCAGTCCCTTCTTAAACTGTACATGTAATTCCAATATAATCCCTATTGCTTGTAATACAGCCTCTGTGGTTGTACTAGATTTTATCCAGGATCATTAAATGACTAAAATTCATTTTCTTGAATTATTATCTTTCATATCCCTGGTTTGGTTTCATTTCACTCTCTATATATTTACTTATCTGGTGACCAGGATTTCCTTATAAAAATTATGGTGAGCCTATAATAATTTAAAATACTTGGCAGACACGATGAAACAGGAATGCTGTAATTTTTAATTAACTAATTTGACCCATTATCATTCGGGAAGCATTTGTTTGAAGCATAATTGTTTCATTTAATGATTGTTATAACTAGTAGTGCAATTAGGGAGGAGCCCAGGGGACCTCAGCTCCCTTACTTTGATAAATAAATAAGGAAAAATTCAAATAAGTACAGGAAAAAGATTTGAATGTGACACATGCATTTATACATATATATACAATATCTAAGAGTTTACTCTTTATCCATAGTACTAGTGTTATAGCCACAATTTTATGAGGGTGAATGTAAGTTTATATGTTTTAATTGTAGGCCCCTTAATATTGATTCTAATGCATTCTAGATTTTCACACATGAATTCTTAATTCCATGAGCCTCAGACATTCATAAGCATCTGCTTCTTGAAACTTAGTGTTTATCTAAAAATCAGAATTCAGTACTAATGAAGATCCAAGTACAGCTGTCCCTTGATAATCCGACAGGTATGGGACCAAAGGGGTGTCGGATTATTAAAAGTGTCCGGATTACTGAAAGTAATTACATATTTGGCATTGTTTTGCTAGCAGTAGTCTACAATATTTCCTACTCCAACTGTTCGAACTGAACTGCTCACGGAAAACACACGAAATGTGTGTCATCGTGTAAGAATTGAGTGGGGAGATTCATGCCGCGACAGGCTTCTGTGCAAGCAGACACGTAACGAAGATGGGTACCTTGACGGGAGGTGTGTCGGACTACTGAGCATGTTGGATTAAAAAACGTCGGACTATCAAGGGACAGCTGTATTGTAAATTGCGTAGTTGTATTTGAGACTTTAAGCTGCATAAACTTGCAAAGTCCCTATAAATATGATTGGTTTGGTTCATTTTGCTTTGACAAAATGCATATAAACAACTGAAAAACCTGATTTTCAATTAGATCCAGACTATCTGCCGAACTATCAAGCTACGATCAAGATAAGTTAATAATTACAATTATTAAAATTATCAAAAGATGGCAACTTAACCGCCTGCTTCCAGACAAATTACTTTGTACCCAATTATTAACTTAAACATAATTATAGCATGGTATTTAAGCAGATCATTTGGCTTTAATGATTAAGTTTATGGTTTTAATTATTATTATAAATTACCTATTGAGTGCATCAACAGCACCTGGAACGGCTGTATTTTCTATATGCAGTGTTCCATTCAAGTCTATCAACACAGTTTTAATTTTATTCTTAAACATGTTGAGAAATTAAACTTATTTAACAATTTATATATAATTTACTGTTAATGTTTTATCATTTAATAAAAATCGAATAAATTAATTAAAGGTCATTAAGAATTATAAACAATGACTGCAGTTATCATACATATAACCTTTAAATTGAGGAAAATGATCTGATATAAATAACCTTGTACATTGCAGTACATGCGCTCGTTCCCATAACAACGTAACACGTGTTTTATTTTTAGTGTTGCCAGATGGATGCTCTAAATGCAATATATCATACAATGGATAAAGTTTAATAAAATGAAATGATTTTAATTTATTTAACTTTTATTATTTTTTGAAATAATAAAACATAATATAATATAAGTATAATAATATAAAAATTTACGTAAAATATAAATCGAAAATGATGACACTTTTCAGCTTTTAAATTAGCTAAAATTTGACATCCGTGTATAGAAACAAAGTGTACTCATTCGGCCAGTTTTAACTTCGGCTTTTAAAGTCATAACGATACCATCGAGCACGCTTCGTCCTATTCTTATACAAGTGGTAGAGGCTGACGGCCGGATGGCCGAGCGGTCAAGCTGGCAGCTTACCGATCTAGGGGATCCGGGATCGAATCCGGACTGGTCAAAAAATCCTAGGAATTTTTCGGGGGATAGTCCGACCGGATATGTCGGTCTCCGTCCCTCTCCACATTGTGGGCCTGGCCGAATCCATAATGGGCTTGCCATAAGAAAACCTCTTAGTGCCCAGAGCGGAAAGAGGGGGAGAAAAAAGTGGTAGAAGCTGGATGGATGAGAGGTTAATCCTCTCCCTTTCCCCCGCGAGGGAAGATTTCCAAAAATTTTTTTTAGCGTGAATTTTCATGGCGTATCCTGACTGTGTACCAAATTTTAACTTTCAACTCCTAACCGTTTTGGCTTCGCACTTATTATTATCAACCCATCTCGATTATATTATAATACAGTATTCTATTGTTTATGTTCTTAAAATCGGATTACTCAACTTATATCGCTATTTTAAGGTTTTATCTAAGTTAATTCGTATCGTAAATCATTAAATTCTCTTATTCTTGCTATATAACTTGTATTTTGAAACTAATATTAACATATTGTACTTATCCATGATCTTCCATGTTTTTACACGAATCATGTTAAAAATTATTAAATCGTATATAAAAAGTATTAAAACTAATATTTAATAACAGAAAAACTTTGTGTTTCCTGCTGTAATTAAGAGCGAGATAACAACTGCAATAAATAATTTAGAAAACTTAATCCACCAAAGAATAAGTTTATAATAAATTGCACTTTAAATAGTCATCTAGTAGAAACCTTGAATGTATTTTAAACTAAGATGGCTAAGGTAATAATAGACGGAGGATGGGCTTGGGTTGTGGCTGCTTGTTCTTTTTGGACCATGCTTACCGTTACAGCTGTTCAAAGAACTTCAGGAGTGCTGTATATAGCAATAATGAATTCATACGATGTATCGAGAGAGGCAGCAGCTTGGCCATTTTTTCTAAGAAAAACAATTGGAATGTTTGCAGGTATTAATTTAATTCGAAACAATATCTTTATACGATTTAAATACATTTAAATTTTCGTGTTTTTCTCGTCTACTGCTTAGCTACTTTGATAGGAATTATTGCCTCCGAGTTTCCCATTAGATGCCAAATGTTTATTGGACTGATATCGGCTGTAATAGGAATGGGATCTCTCTTTTTTGTAGACGATATACTTTATATTACATTATTATTTGGAATTTTATATGGTAATATTCTCGAAATATAATTTTGTATGGATTATTTTTATGATTACTTACATATTTATACTCTTTGCAATTTAGGTTTTGGCTCCGGTGTGGTTGGAATGTGTAATATGATCAATGTCAATAAATTCTTTTCTCGTTATCGGACTGTAGCTCTAGGAATCACTTTAGCGGGCATCTCTGCTGGAGCCTTTGCTCTACCTCCTCTGCTAGAGTTTTCTATTAATAAATATGGTCTACGAGGTTCCTACCTCATATTAACAGGAATTATATTGGAAGGTTTCATAGCAGCTGTATTATATCGTGATCCTCCGAGACCAAAGAAACCTAAAGTAGAGAAAAAGGATAGAAGAACTTCTAGCATAGCTTCGATAGCCGAAGTAGTCCACAGAAGATCCATAGAAACTGCCATGACTATGTTCGAAACTGAAACTCCAACTAGAAAAGAGTCTATAAGTTTGCAAATGGAACCACCAAATCTTCAAAATGATTCGACGCAAAACGAAGACTTTCAGAATAATTTTTGTTTAAATTTTTTAAAGTCTTTATTATATATATTTAAATCGCCAATGTTTCATGTAATATGGTTGTCGTTTATGATTTACGATTTTGCTTTTCAGACATTTTTAACCGTTATTGTTGATCATGGTATCGATTGCGGTATCGATGGACATAAAGCCGTGTTCTTCCTCTCTGCTTCTTCCATTGCCGAACTCTTTGGTCGCTTGGGTGGTGGATGGATCGTTGATTTACAATTTATAAAACGAAAAAATGCCATAAGATTTGGATTTTCTTTTATGGCAGGAATTTTTATAGGAATACCATTTTTAAAAAATTACATCGTGTTGTTGTTTCTAACCGCTGTTATTGGTTTAATTGGAAGTTTTATAAACATCAATGCAACTGCTGTTTATGTGGATTACTTGGGAATTGATTATCTTCCACTTGCTCTAGGAACAGGAGCAACTTTCACCGGTTTGTTAAGTCTAGTTACTCCCAGAATTATTGGTAAGTTGCAATTTTATTCACAAATATCTTTTAAATTTTTCAAATAAAGCAACATTTATTAGAGATTTTTATTAACTATTGCATATAATCTCTTAGTTTAAACTCATGTTCTTATAATTTTTAGGATACATCCGTGATTCTTCAGGTAGCTACAGCTTGTTATTCTTCAGTTTTGGTGGATTATTAGGAATTTCAGCTTTATGCTGGATAATGGAGCCATTATTAAATAAATTTCGACCAAGAAGACCTACTTTCAAGAGATCAGAAAGTTTAGGAACATGATTTTGATAGAACATTTTACAAATCTTTCATGTTAAGTCGGCAGGTCATTATTTTAAATTGACAAATGGATCAACTAGTCATCATAGAAAATGGATAATAATTAGAAATTACTACGAGTTAAAATGGTCATTGTTTAAATTACATGAATTTCATTTTGTATTAATATCCGGAAAGTGGATTATCATTTGTATTTGTGCCATAAACCAATTAAAAAGAAATGTTAAAATTTATAGGTTTCAAAGTCAAATAAAGATAAGATTTTATGAAATAGTTTGTTATTCTTACAGACTTAAAACTTGTTTGATTTATTGAATTTCATTATCTCAAGATAAAAACTTATTTATTTATATTTTCTTTATAACAAAGTAGAGCTACTAAGAAAAGGCTTGAGTTACACATATAATTTGTTCATCAACCTTTATTTAAGTAAATTAACTGCTGGTATGTTTCTATCCAGATCGAATTTTTTAAAATAAAAATGCGCAACAATTAGGAACAAATAAAGTTTGCTTTTTACTTCTTATTTCAAACAATTCAAGTTGGTATTCTCCAATAGTAAGAAGCATTTATTGGATTTCCTATTACCAAATTGAAGTGAGATTTTACAATTAATATTACGAAATATTTCTATACTTATCGTAATAAATTTTGTCTGGCTTAATTTCAGAAAAATGGCTAAAGTTGTGGTAATTGGCATCATTTACCTCTTCCTCGATGTTTCGTTTGTCGAAATTGGTAGAGTACAGTACCTTTACTTCTCTCGATTCAGACTTTAATGCAAATAATGTTTAATACGTTTTAATTTACAGAAAGCATGTTGAAATGCTCGAAAGTCCGGTCTACAAAAAGTTACATCAGATTATGACTTGTGAGTCTCTGAAGTCATAGAAACAATTAACATCGCGTGCAATTCTTGTACAAAATGTATTAAAGGAAAAATCGAATGTTTCCTAGGATAGCAGAGGAGCCTTGGTATAAAAGAATGTACAGTACCTCCGACTTCCAAGCAGAAAAAAATACTGTCCGATATCTTTGTCCCGAAGAGCAGAAGAGCGCTTTAGAGCTGGCAGGATAGAAGCGAAGAAAAAATGGAGGAGAAAAGTGAACCAACAACTGAACGTAACAGAGGAAGTGATGATAAAAGGCTTTCGTCTGCCTCAGCTGGTATTGTGGGAAGAAATTGAATTGGATCTGGAAAAATGCGAATACTCACTCCCTCAGTTATTTGATCGATGGATGCCATCTGAGACGTATGTGTCCGAATGGAAAAATAAAAGTCGTAATGCGCTTAAAGGATATTTACCCCTTTACTTTCGATCGTTTTGGTTTATAAATTACCATAAAGATCGGCTATAATCTTAATCTTTGCTATGGTTACTTTTGCTCCAGCAAAACCGGGCTCATCTGTTAGTCTACTGTTTTCATTTATGTACAGTAGACCACCTATAACGTGGGTTCCTATAACGCGGCGAAAAAATTGAGACAGTATTCGTATAAAGACGCTAAAAGGGACGCGTAAAACGTCATCGCGGACCAGCAGCCGAACTACTTTCCGCCGTCCAGCGCCACGCTACGGAGAATTTAGGCGGGTAAATTGAGTTTACTATCGTCTGTACAGTATTATATATATATTAGGTACTGTATATATAATTATATATTAACTTAATTTATTATAACTTTATTATATATATACTTTCCGCCGTCCAGCGCCACGCTACGGGGAGTTTAGGCATGTAAATTGAGTTTACTATAGTCTGTACAGTATGTAAATTAGGTATCGTAAGTCTAATACAGCACTGTAATTTTATACACTTCTTGTGAAAGAAACATTTCTTATTCAACGGCTCCAAAGTTCAACGAATTTTTCGCACAAAAATAACATCAGAAAATGCGCTGCTCCGCGACGAAAACAAGCTTAAGCAATGGCAACGTCGAACGGTGCACCCTCGGTAAGTAATCCTACAATTTTTTGTTTATAGTATAGTTTATATGGATTATTCCCAAAAAATTATACGTATTTTGGAAATGTTAAGTCGAACTAGTCTAGGATTGATTAATTTTATGGAAGAACCTTTCAAACAGCCATAGTCCGTAAACTTCACACGTGTCGGGCTGCGATTGGCTCGTGTATTTAAGGATTCCTACAACGCGAAATTCGTATAACGAGGAACGTATCTACCGCGTTATAGGGGTCTACTGTACTTCGGTAATATTTTATCCTATTGTATTAGTAGCTAATATATAAACTTACGAATAATTCTTTCCTATAAAATATTCGTTTA